AAAAGGTAGTTGCATCGTCGTTGATCTTGCGACCTTCTAGCGGACGACCCTCAGTATCAAAGCTGCCGGCACTGCAGAGCGGTATATGGTTTAGAATATTCGGGTAGCATTCGGTTTGCTACGCACCCCTTGCGGTTGGGTATAGTGCCAATCGGAGACAGAGAAGTCTATGAGGCGCATTTGGTTCTATAGGAGTCAACACCGCATCGGGAGTGAGAGCAAACCACGAACTCTTGAAAGTGTGATTGAAGGTCCCGGGGAACTAAAGCTGGAGGTGACCCAACCGGTCTGACCTCCTACGAACAATATGATAACAGTAACGTAGCCAACCACCAGAAGTGGGGCTCTAATCCCATCATGATTATCACCTCCTAACTAAGTTGCCCTAGCATATTCAAACATTAGAAAAGGCACCAAGAGCGGTGCACCATGGGGCAGCTAACCGGAGAATAACAACCAAGATAACAAATAGCAGCGTCGATCCACGACAGTCACAAGGCACAAAATCTCACGTTGGAGATTAGTGAGATCCTCCCCAGGCCTACTTGTGAGCTTTGCGGTCCTGCCAAATACTGTACTGTCATCGGTATCGACGCGTACGCCAACAGCAGTCTCTCAGATGTAACGAGTCCCCTGGAGTCCAACATACTTTGTTTCGAGGTAATCGCCATCGTTGGGGTCTATACTACCTCCTGGTAGTTTTAACTCGCCTGATTCACCCAATCAGTCACAGAAGAAACCGTGAAAATTAGTTGAAGGGGCAAACAGACCCATAAGAATCGCTCGATGAAACCCTAAATCCCCCAAACCTCAATAAGCTCGACATCCGCTAGCATTTCATTTCCCTGTTTAAGGTAAATGATATTTCTAGGGACTATGTCGACGGCCGAGACTACAGCCCGACTGCTGTTTCTAAGAACAATACAGACATCCGCCAACTAGCAGGGGGAAACCAAACCCACCGAAGCTGTATATCATAGGATTTCGGAAGAGGGTGGGTGGGAGCGGAGAAAGGATATTGAGTCTGTATTTCTCACGACGGACCCGTGCCTCTGTATCTGCAGTGTCGTCACTACTACTCCTCTCCCGCGTACCGGCGCCCGTAATGTCAGCCAACTCTCAAGTCTTCGGCCCAATCTCAGATGATAGGCTAAACAGCGCGGTTTCCGGAAACCCATAAACTCTTTTTAAACGATTCAGCAGAGAAGGAACCACTAGGCAAGTTAGCTTGAATTTTGTGGTCAAGAAATAAAGAGAACAAACCGAAAAGGACGGCTTAACAAGGCCCGTTTCCACTTCCTATGGGAGGTGAGGGGAGGTACAAGTAGAGTACCACACCGTACTATACAAGTAGTCTAGCGTGGTGCAATGCCAACAGATTGGATGTACTTTTTCTCGGCTGAGGTTTAATATCGCTACCTATGCACCAGGTACGCGTACCAAACCAGGCGCCATGTCATGCAATGTTGCGACGAAGGCCTTGGCAGGACCAAGGGGGGGTTCGCCAAGACTGATTCCAGGACAATTCCTTAGATTTTTCCAAGCCATTCCCCACAGCTGGACCTAAACTTAAGGTGATTGCGTGGATGATGATATATGGGAGTGTTGAGGGCGAGGGAGGGATATCTTCCAAACCAAGCACCCATAGAATAGCGTGTTTTTGTGAATCCCCCACACCCCTTCAGGCCTTCAGAGGGTCATAAACTCGAGTTCCAGGGATTTGGTTGACTTCCACCACCAAACCCCCTTCGTGCCAACACTGATCTCGCGACATGAGTAACTTACCCAGGCAAAATCCTTTGTCAGTCCCCCCCCCAACTACTTTTCCAGTTTCAAGCACCCGCAAGCCACAATATCAGTAATAGGGCCCGCGACACCTACCCATCCGAAAGAAGCCTACAGCTCCCCTTCATTTAGTTTCGCCGCCACCCCACATTCTCTTCATCCTTCCCCTCCCTCCCCCGCTTGATGTTGGATGGGGCATCGCGGGGAGTGTGACGGGGAAGCGTCCGGAAATTTGTCAAGGAAATGCTTAACTCATCAACCCACCGCGTTGCTCCAAAAAATCCTCCCCTGGAGGTTGTAAATTCAGGTTGGTTGGGGACCGGGTTGAAGGCGGATATGTGCGGGAAGGGCTGATACCGGTACTCGAGTAATGGATAAGCCGGTGTGGCCCGTGCGTTGTGTTGCAGAAAGCCCCGCCCGGCGAAATCACCTCAGCAATGCCGTTCGGAATGGAGGAATTCGCGCTGCGTGTTATGCGGCTGCATTTAATATCTCGGGGAGTTAAGTTCTCCAAGGTGGGGCCAATACCGGCAACTGGATAGCGTGCGCTCGAGTACGAGTACAGTACAGGTATTGTCCTTCTAGTTGCCCTTCTCGTAGAATGCTACTTGTTGATCCAGCGACTTGTTATTGGGAAAGTTTGTTATGATGTAGCTCTGCTATAGACTACCAGCACTGCACTCGAGCGCTGTTCCCAGTACATCCAACTTTTTAATTCCCGGTACTAGAGCACTATCTCCCCCAAGTACTCGTACTAGTACAGCTTATATTTAGTTACCGGGGGCACCGGTGCTCGTTCAAACATCCCGGACCCATCGCCTTCCTGTCTATATTTAGTTATTCAATTCAGAACTGATATCCAATTGCGATGTGCGAGCACCAAAAAACAAAGTTATTCCCCCCCACGCTAGTGCTCCTCCACAGGCAACCTATAAACTCGAGCAGGGTTCTCGAGCGCTCGAGTAATCGCCTTGCACGCTGCAGGACACCCATCCATAAACCCTGTGCACAGGGCCCACGAAAACCTGGAAGCAGCCTCGTCCCAGCAGCTCACCGTATCTTAACGATAAGCGAAACTCTGTGCACTCCCAAGAACACGGGGTAGTGCAAGCACACTATGCCCTACAGTATCAACTACAAGTACCTGTCCTCAAGTAGTGAGCCATAGCAAGACACACAACGGCTTCCACTCGAGCAACGGTGCAAGGGGGGGGGGGGTGGAAATGAATGCTGGGCCATGACCGCGGGTGAAGGAGCATTCCTTGCCGGCTGCGGCAGGGCCCGGGCACCCGATAATCGGGAAGGCCGTTTTCGGCGTCTCACTTCAAAAGTTTAACACATCACCGAACTTAAAATTCACAGCGACCCCGAGTTGCCCACGATACTTATTTCGGCTTGTCCCTTTTCTAATCCACTGCGGGTCGAAGCCGAGGAGTCTTTATTAAAAATTTGCATTAATAAATCTCCCCCCCTTCTGTCGTGGTAGAATGTGGCGGCGGTTCCGTCAAGAGATACCTTCCGGAAAGTGCCACTAAGCCGTGCTTCCTACTTGAAATCTTACAGGTTGAAGCTCACAAGTGCGAAAGGGTTTTACGCACAAAGTTGGATGCCCCCCCAATGATAGCCGGGTTGGAAACTAGGAGGTGGCGGATGTTAAGGCTTGGTGTTTGGCGATTGGGCGCACCGGGAGGTCAGGTATCGTACGCCAACGCCGAAGGGTTAAACGTGGGCAAGACATCCGGCACGACCCCTACCGCCTCGGGCCGAGTAGTAGCGTCCCTTGTATACCCAACAACGGCTGCCTGGAGGGTGCATGATACCATGTATTGTAAGTCTCCCTAGAGCACCGGTAGTCCCAGATATTTCCGCCAAAGTTGGCAAGTCACTATGTATCACTCGAGGTAGCGCAAACTCGATTTTCAAGAATTATATTCATCCCCACTGCTGCACAACTAGCCAATGATTACACAGCCATGCCACAAAAATCATAAAGGCGAAAAAGAGCGACAAGAAGTAAACTTCAACCGTGTATGCCTTCCACCAGACGAAAAAAAGAAAGTGAAACCATTCATAAAACCGATCCTAGTTCTTGACGGCTCAGGGGCCAGGATACCGGGCCGCCGTTAAAATTGTCCAAACTTAGGAAACCCGCCTATTCCAAACTTCCCCATTCTCAACTTTTGTCGGGAGTGGCCAAAACGCCGGTCTCCCGTAATCCATTTCCAAGTGTGAGAATACCCGATCCTATCCCCCCAAAGGCTACTAAGGCTCAAATTTAAGAGCACTCAGGCCTGACGGTAATCTCCTTGCATGACTGAGGACCCAACCACCACTCGTCGCAGAGGGTATCACACTTGACACCAGGGCGGACGAAAACTCTATACTCCTGCCCGGCGAATAGAGTGCGCCAGTGTGTGCCGGAATCGGTGTTGGGAGCATTGGCCTTATATCCGGCACTATAGAGTTTATAGTTGTCAGTGCTGATCACAATAGGAGGCGAGAGAAGTGGAGACAAACCGGCAAGCACAATGAAGTTGGCCATTGGGCTTGGTGAAGATGCAAGAAGTGGTGATGTCGCATTTGTTGTTGTTTGGGTTCGGATCGCATGCCTCGCATGCCGGGGGGGTCGCGGCAGCCGAGGCGAAGAGGAGGATGTTGAGGAGGGTGAAGACGACGGCGAGGATGGACTTCATTTTGTTTTTTATAGCGAGTGGTTATAAAGTTGGTTGACTTGACTTTTGAAAGCGAATGCAGAAGGTGGCTTTGGTTGAGTTTTCCTGAAGCTAGAAGACTGCGGATGCGGATGATGGTGGTGAGGAGGAAGGATCTTTGGGGGATGGGAGGGGGAGGATTTATAGATTTCTCGAGCCCAGGTAAAAGAACACTTTAGGATGCCCGAGAACAGTTCAGTTGCGATGCTAGGCACTATCATTAGAACTAGACTCAAGTGATCTCACAGAAATCAAAAAAACGTAAGACCATCGACTCGATCCTAATCGGGTGAGGTGGTGGTCCCAATGACTCCCACAGGAAATATCACCAGGCCTTGCCTACTTACTAGATTGTGGTTCCGTATACCCTCCCATGTTTCCCCGGAGGTGCGACAGCGTGAGAGAATTAGCTACAGCCCACTGTGTAAGCTTACTCGCACAAAGAATGTACGGATGATACGTATGTATAAGGCATCCACCCATGTCTCACGACCGCGATCTGCCAGCTAAGCCTTTCTATCATACCACCGTCAAGGATATCATCGTGGACCACCACACTCCTGAGTACGGTATCCGTCGCTCTTGGCCGAGTTTGGCTTCCCGCAGCGCGTGCAAGTCTGCTTCCAAGCACATAGCTAACAAGGGAGCACACCAGAAATCTGCTTGCGGTAATATTTACAATACCAGGATAGTTTTCTACTGTAATGGCTTCAATCGAATACGAACCTACCGCCCTACCGACTAATCACGATCAGAACCACAAGGACCTCATACCCTTGTCTTAAAGAGCCATGGAAAGCAAGCAAGAAAGAAAAAAACGTCCACAATCTAAATATATCGCGTCCGGATGCCCTCCTGAGAATTTGTAAAGGTCAAAAGCGGGAAAGGTTTTTTTTTTCCTCTCCAAAAAATACTCCGCTTGGATGAAAATATGCGATAGTTGAGTACGGGAAGTCACGGGATTGTGGGGCTTTGGTCTTTGGTGTACGGTAATTCGAATACCACCGCACAGCGCATTGTGGCTACGACCGATTAGTAGCGGGCAGTGCTATACGGAGTATGCAGCAAGTCATTGTTGTCACGGTACAATCCGGCAGTCTCCCAAGACATCCGAATAAACTTTTTTCTCCCTTGCTTTATCCCAGTATTTGCTCCCCTTCCTACAGTACCGTACGCTACTCGAGTACATTATTGCCGATCCACAGCCACCACCGCATGCAGCGAGGATACCGATCCCCTCTTTGGTAGGAGCCCTCGAACTCCTCCCAATAAGCTCCTTCATCCAGAACGTTGCCCTGTACTCGAGTACTCGTACTCACACCGTACCCTGGGGGTCAGGTATCCAGTCGCTGCGACGTGGTACAAGTCCAAATGTAAGACATCCCCTCGTTCTAAATTTAGTACCAACTTACCCCACACAGAAAGCTCTACTCCCGCTGGGTTCCGGAGAATTGAGTTTTGCGACGATGATAGTGGGTTTTTTTTGCCCGTCCTTCAAGGACTCTAGTGGCCGGGGAGGGGCCGTGGTGGGTTGCCCTCGGCCCCCGGCTATGAAGGCCAGAGTGGAGGGATACGGGTGGTACAAGTAACCAGAGTACGAAACGCCTTGGATTATGAACAGGGATGGTTTGACTTATCGATAACCACACAAGGTCCGGTATATCTCAGGTTACAATACCCCAGCAGTCCGGGGTGCAGGGTGATTGGGCTTGTCGGGTCCTATTTTATACTTTGGTACCTAACGTACCTAGTCATCATGGCATCGTATTCAATACGTGGGCGAGTTGGGTTCTCGAGCATGATACTGGCACAGTACCCTACAAGTACTTCAACAACTTAGTTTTGATGCTGAGCCAGGCGCACACCTTAACCCCCACTACCACGCAGCGCCAACCACACCATACCATACCATCAACCATGGTCTACTCAACCACCCACCCCTCTGGCCTCCATCTATCAATGCCCGCCAAAGGCTAAAAGCACAAACCCCTCCCCCCCCCAAAAAAAAACTAAGAAAGAAATAAACTTGGACCTCAATAAATAATTTCGCGAACCAACCCCGCTCTCCCGTCCCATCCACGGTTTGAAAATAAAATATACAGCGAGGTTACGCAAAAAGCAATGCCCGGAAATGTCCGCTCATGCGGCATCATTTCCAAACCTCAAGGGCCCAAATGACCAGATCAATAGAGAGGCATTCAGCCCCGTGGTTGAAAGAGCATTCTCCAACTGCCAAATTTCGACCAGATTTGCGAAATTTGTTTGCAGATAAACCCTACGCACACCAAAATCCTTCGACTTGAAAAGCATGCCTAAAGGGTTCTCAACCCCGAGGCTGTGTGCTCCCAACACCCTGCCCTATCGTATTCTATTCGGGGGCCTACCAGTGGCTTCCAAGTCGGTTGATCTCAAAGTGCAATTATCCTTGGCACGCAGCAAAGAAGTGAAACTGCAAAGGGAAGGGAGGGAACCGCAGAGTAATTGCACACACACCCCTCTTGGAAGGCTTGTTTGGGCGAGCTGTGCTTCGCTGCAGGTCAAAGGAATTCAAGCTTTCTTTCCTTCTCTAAGACTCTCCCTGCGCGTGTGTGCTGGTTTTGTGCAAAGGACTAGAAGTGGAGCCATTCCGGAATCCGGCACTCCTGGTATTTGCACTTCCGGTGAAAATACTACCACCCAAACCCCATAAGCACGAATTGTCCGACCTTACAGGGCGTCCGGTTAGCGGGAAGTACCAACAAGGTCCGCGGTACAAGTCGGCACCGCCTCAGCCCCAGGGAAAATAATAGTACCAATGACTTGCCCGCGACCAATCGGCGTTTCAATTCCGCCGAAGTCCAGGAGCTAAGAAACTGTGTGAAGGCTGAGGTTTCCGAAAATGCAACACCTTTCGGCAAAATGGTCTCTACGGGGAGTACAATGAATACGCAAAGGCTAGTACGGTATTACCGTCTTTTTGCTCACCAGACTCACTAACTGTGATTCCCACCACAATATTTGGGACGAAAGGACTACCCCACCGGATTCACTGCACTACAGTAGGGTCACTTGAGCATCTCAAGTGCAAATTGCACCACGATCATCTCAGCGCAACATACCACTCCTCCAGCCCCCACCACCCCCTTCGTATATGCGGCCCCGGAACGGAATAACTACTCCGATCCTATACGGTACTCGAGTACCGTACCACTCTCCAAAAACAGCTTGCAGTTGTCTCACTCGCCAAACTACACTGCGGGCCGGCAATAAATCCCCTATTAATGACTTCCCCGAGCTACCATTTGCTCGTGGGTGGAGGTACAGGTATACATGTGTGTTGTCAATGTGATCAATCTCAGCCCAAGGGCTGATCGATCTCTATTAATTGTAACAAAGGCAGATGGTCGAACACTTACTGGTGAAAGCTGGAGGACATGGAATGCTTCCGGGTGAGTAAAAAAGAGATAGGAAGTGCAAGAAAAATTGTACGGAGGGGGGGAAAGTGTTGGGAGGGTGGCGACCCTCGAGTGGGTCTGGAGTATGAGGTGTGATATAGAACTACTTTGCACAAATGGGAAGAAAGGTGGAGCCGAGGAAGGTCAAGTTTAACTGGTCGCGAGTGATATGTTATGTAGTTAAGATTAAATCAACACTACTACTACTACTACCTGCAGAACACGACTGCGATCCATAAATCGGGTTGAAAGGGAAATACCAGAACGGACGAACAACATTAGAGCGATTCAATGTCCAAAATTATCTCAGAAATCGCAAAAGAAAAACCTAAAAAAAAAACATTATACTCTCCCAAGTCTTCCATCAGAGTTCATCCCGCCATCTCCTCGCTGGCGCAAACCCAAAGTAATCACTAACATCTAAACTCCACCCCCGCCAAGCGAGGTTCCTCCTCCTCTCCCTCCCACTCCCACTACCACGATCATCGGCACTCTCCTGATCCAACGCCCTCTGCAACGCCGCTCCTCTCGCCGCGATATTCTGCCTGCGGATCAAATCCAGCGAATCCAAGTCCAACCCAAACTCGTTTCTAGGATAATTATACGACCCCTCCAAAATCGGGTTTATCAGGCCCAAGTCCGGAAGGCGGAATAGTTCAATGTGTTCGTCGGCCATGCGGACGGCTTGGTACCGCACTCTTCTGCTCCACCACCTGGTGTACTGAATCTGGTCGTTAGGGGTTATGGGTGGGTCCGATATCAATAGGGAGACGAGAGCGTTTAGTTCGTCCATCCGGCGTGGGCTTGAGGGAGGGGGGGTTCGATGGGTCTGGTGGTAGAGGGTTAGGTCATTGAGGAGGTAGGTGCACCAGGTGGGAAGTTGCCAGGTTGTGGCTGGTGGAGGTTCTACGACGTCTGGGAAGCCGTCCCCAACTACATCTGGTAAGGCAGGTGGAAATCGTGGGGGTGTCAAACTCTGGGGGCGTTGAAGGGAGTTTCTCACGAACAAAATAGCTCGTGAGATGGCTCGTGAGATGATCCCCTGTGCGGCTCTAAGATGGGGGAGGACCGCGTAGAGTGCGTTGGATATTGTGTGCTTCACGGCACTCCTGCGAGGGCCGGTGTAATCTGTAGGCACACCTGCGTCCTCACAGACGTTCACAAGCAGCCGAGATAGTTCGTTTTGGAGTTCGTTTAGTTTAGCGAACTTCTCAACTTCCCCAACAAGCTGGTAAATAATGTCGTCCAAATCCCTGAAACCGCAATGCCGCTCAATATTCAGAGAACCCAGGATTTCGCCTTCAGCCAGCAACGGTCCAACCTTGACCTGTAACCTTTTATACCAGAACGGTTCCTCATACTGAAACACCCCATCAAGGTGAAATCTATCAATAGCACTCCTTGCTTCTGGGGTCTGGTAGATCGACTCATCCGTATACGCCGCGTAGTTTTCCCGCATAACTTCCAAGTTGAGGGCCGCTCTCCTACGGCCGTCGAGAGCTTCAAACTTGGAAACCTCATGTATCAGCATGATAATGAGTGTCTCAG